AACGGCAGCCCTGAACAATGCTTATCAGAGGACAGAAGGACAGAGTTATTTCACAATAAACAAACTGAAATTGTAGCCTACATAGTTTGTGCAATTACAGTTATTTAAATTGAACGTTGAAATATATAAGGCATATTGAATGTTAAAATGCATTTTAAACAAAGTTAAGTGCTTATTATTACCCATTTTACTCTTAGTAATTTAATAATTTAATACATTTCATCATTTAAAAGTTTAGTGCAGAAGTATCGAATCGGTATCGATATCGACGATACTGCCTTGAAAAATATCGGTATCGTATCGAAAACAAAATAAGTGGTATCGCCCATCCCTACTGGAAGTGACGTAACTGTGACATGGTAGAAAATTCAATTTATTGTTAGCTTCCGGTTCTTGCTGTATCCCTTCTAGCCACAAACCAACCTTGCTGATACTTTCGCTCTTTTTGAAGCTATAAAACATTACGTGAAAAAGATTCATTACATTCTGCTTAGTAATATTATGTTGGGGAAATATTTCATCCTAAAACATCCCCATTTTCTTATATTTAAAAATGACTTTTGTTTGTAAAATCTAATGTTTTTCCATATTTTCTAGCGCTTTTTATATTAAATTTACTTATGTTTCATTAAAATATTTCTATTGTGCAGAGGCTTCCATTACATCGTTGTTTCAGTTTGTATTATGCCATTTTGGATGTTTGTAATGTTTTGTAAAAAAGAGAAAAAGTAGCCTAAATAGTAAGCGTTCACATTCAGTTTCAAAGGTGCTAGGCCTATGCAGACACATAATCTCTGTGCCAGTTTGTTCCCATTTATTTATTCATTCATTTTCAGTTTTACTTCCTATTTTTGTTTAGTGTTTATTTGATTTTGTTTATTCTAACTATATGTTGTGTTTGTCTGACCCTTACCAAAAAGTAGTATACTTCAAGTTTATTTTAGTAAGTATACTTAAGTAAAGTTCAAGTATATTTTTAAGTATACTTTATGTAGTAAGAATACAAATATCAGTGTACTAGTAGTATACTTGTAAGTGTACTATTTCAATACTCCTTGGGACTAAATTGGCCCAATTTCTAGTGTATAAAAGTATACTTTTAAGTATAACAGTAGTAAACTTTAAGTACACAACTAGTTTACAACAATATTTTTAGCTTGTACTGCAACTATACTAAAAGTGAACTTATAGGTATACTGATAGTTTTCTAATTAAATACTTGTAGTAGCATTCTTAGTACACTTTGAAGTATAGTCTCAGTAAACTACTAGTTTAGTAGTTTTATACTGCAAGTATACTCGTAAGTTTTCTTTACGTGAACTTTACATCATACTTTAAGTATACTACTATGTCCCTATTTAGGTATTAATTTGTATATATTTTGTTACATGAATACCTGAACATACAAAACATCAAAAGAAAGAACAGGGTATCTGCTTGTAAACAAAAACATTTTATTCTAGCTTCATGCATTCTTTTTTTAAACACTTGAATGTGGATAAGTTTCATAGAAAATAAATAAATAAACAACATTTTGAACTAAAAGGTGAAAAAAGACTATAAATTGGATTCAGAATAATAATCAAAATGTAGATAGAGTCGATCAACACCCCAAAGCTTGACAGTCATTATTACCTCTTCATTGGTCGACATACATAGCTCAAATATATTTAGACTTTTTCTAAGTAGGCTGTAAGTCAAGTATACTTAAATGTCATTTTAAGTATATTTCTGAGAAGTACATAAAGCCCATTTCTGAGAAGTACATAAAAAGTAGACTAAATACTTTCCTATTTTTTAGTTTAAAAGAAGTATACTAATAGCACACTTGAATAAACTTATTTTTCATAAGGGGATCTATGTGTCTAAGAAAAATATATTTTTTAATCCTAAATTGACTTTTCCATTTATATTTTGAAGTTGTTATTATATGATTCTATTCCCTTTTTTATTCTTATTCTATTATGACAATTGTAGTCTATACCGTTTTCTATTTTAATATATTTATTTATTTATACAGCAAAGTTGAAATTTTAATAGCCATTATTCCAGTTTAGAAATCCTTCTATGCTGAATTGGTGTAACATTTCCTATGACCATCGTCAATATTGAAAACAGTTGAATTGCTTAACATTTTTGTCAAAATTGTGATACATTTTTTAGGATTCTCTGCTGAACAGAAAGTTCATTTATCTGAAATAGGTAATACTTTTGTAACATTATAAATTCCTTTACTCTCACCTTTGATCAGTTTGCATCCTTGCTGAATACAATTATTAAATTCTTTCAAAAACATCTGACCACCACAAGCTTTTGAACAGAAGTGTAATGTTTATTTACTAAATGAAATACACAAAGACATATGCAGCAGTGACTCTTGGTTATATTTGACTGACACACGAGGGCAGACATGGACCTGGTCATTGCGATTATCCCTGAATGCCTGAACAGAAGATTTTACACCGACAGTGATGACCAGCCTCTCACTCAAATAATGCTCGCACTGAGATAACGTTGCAGTGGAATTATTTTTTTTTTAACAATTTATTTGTAATATAGCTACTATTTTGGTTAATCTGCACCTTGACACTCGACATCATTACTGATTTAGACCTTCTTTTGTGAAACTTTGGTAACACTTTACTTGAAGGGGTGTGCATAAGACGGACATGGCACCTTCATAAGTCATGAATATGAAGGAGGTTTTATGCATGTTTATGACAACTGTCATTAAGTGTCAGTTATGTCATTTTAATGCAAAGATGACATTATTTGAGATGTCTTTGTTATGGGCTATGGTTAAGGGTAGGGGTAGGGTTAGGTCAAACAATGTCATATTTGCATTAAAAATGACATAACTGAGCGAATGACACTTGATGACAGTTGTCATAAACATGCATAAAACCTCCTTCATATTCATGACATGTGTCATGTCATGATTATGAAGGTGCCATGTCAGTCTTATGCACACCCCTTCAAGTAAAGTGTTACCGAAACTTCTAATCTCCGGTGAGTCTGGCTCCCCCGGGTTCTGTTGTATTGATCCGCGTCCGATAGCAGCCAAAAGACAAGATGAGACAACGCAAGGACTATGTCTCCAAATAGACTGGAGAGGAACTGTTATTGTGATTATGGTTTTGCTGAGAGTGGTTGATCGTGATGGATGTGAGATGTCGGGTTCTCTTCACCGTCTGCTCGCTGCTGCTCATCGCGCGCAGTGACGGCTCTCCGTTCACCGACTGTATTCAGAGCAAAGGGAAAGCGGGCTTTTACGAGGGATCCATAGACTCAACCGAGTCAGGCGTGAAATGCATGAACTGGAGCGATGTGCCCGGTGTTACAGAGCGGTATCCGGGGAAAGGACTTGGGGATCATAGTTTCTGCCGAAACCCGGACGGCAGAATTCGGCCCTGGTGTTTCTTTCCAAACAGCCGGGGACGCATTGACTGGGGCTACTGCGACTGCAAGCAAGGTATGTACCAGACAAAATGATCTAATTTGCAAAAGCAGCCATTAATATTAATTTATAATCTGCGCGACAAGTGTGTTTCATTTGCAAGAGATACCTGCACGCGCCATTGGGTTCAAGATTTCCTAAGAGTAACCTTAGTATAATGTTTGTTTTCTGTTTATGTTCTGCTGAACGTATGATTCAGAATGAAACCAGTGCAGGGCACGCACGCAAGCTAAGACATGCTCAAACTTCAATGCGTCCACGCGTGGGAAAGGTATGCGCGCTTCAGGTAGCTATAGCACCTACACTGAGAACAAAGCGGCCACTCATCCGGCGCACGGGGTCGTTGTATCATTTGAGTTTTACTTTGAGACAAGCATCTCCAACAGCAGTTTGTGTAATTTAATGTAATTAATTCTTGTTGGCGAGCGAGTCTCTTGCAGGTCTCGAGCTGCCCAGCCAGCCCAGAGTCAGTGCGCTGTTAGGAAAATGAGGAAGCCAGTACGGTTTATTGTGAAAGTCAGACAGTATTTGAAAAAGTATGACTTTTGTGACGACATGAGAGAATAAATAGCTTTGAAGACATATATAATTTACTGTATAGGGGAGACCGGAGCAATGTGTGACTTTTTACTCCAAGTTCTATTTTAAAAGTCAATTTCTGTATTGAAATCTAGGCTACAATAATAATAACAAATAAATAAATGAATACAAATAAAATAACACTTCCACTGGTTTGACCAGGTTCATGGAACACACGTTGACGTTGTGACAACATGCCCCAGTGTGGGATAACAATGTGACAACTAACCCCGGCCCTAGAAACAATGAACTGTATTGTGGTACACTGGGGAAAGCTCTCATTACCATGTACATTTTATTTAGCAGGAATGTGCATCCTCATAGCCTCTGATTTATCATGACATTTTTCATCAAAAAATACAGACACAAATAGTCTGATGATGTAATCAACGGGTCTAATATCGGCCCTGGAAAGAAAACTTGGAGAAGGTGGCTGAAATTATAGGCTGAGTTCCTCCATAATCTTTCCATATTTATTATTTTTGACATTTGTTTATAATCTTTCAAATATTATTATTAGTTAAAAAGCACTTTGCATGTGAACATTTGATCAATGTCTTAATGCATATTAAATGGGAACCGGATGAGTTTATTTAAATATTTTGGTATTCTATTAGTTGATATTTCCAGCATATCAGTCGCCTATCATTTTCCAAACATCCTGTGAATGTTTTGAAGCGCTGAAATGTTTGAAGAACATGTGCTGCCATCATGTGTGGTTGTGTACCGTGTATATGAATTATAACTGCTCTGAATGCAGCAGCTGTGAACACTTAATGCATGAAAAGGGCTTTCACACACAGACGTCTGTTCTTGTAGCAAGTGGATATATGTATTCATACTGTTGTGGCCAAATTTTTAAAACAATCTCGAAAAATTCTAATGCAAGTTTACATTGATCTATTTTATGTGTCTAATTGAGCTGTTGGGTAACTCTTAGGTTAATCAAATCAAGTTAATCATCAAAATGATAGATACTTAGCATAAAGTTTGGTTTGGCGGTATGGTTCTGTTCTGGGCAAAAACCTCCCTGCCCATCCATGCAGCCTGTCATGAATGAGCAAGGAGAGCAGCAATAATAAACCCCCTAGGGTTAACAGAACAGAACAAGGCAGATATCATTAATGTACTTAATGATATTTAAGTGTAACACTTTATTCAAGATAAAGGAGTCTGATTAGCAAGGAATATCAGAAAGCCAATTCCTGACTGTGGTGAAAGGAGGAGCTGGGGATGGAGGGGGGTAATTTGCTCCGGAGCAAGCTGAAAAGCTGCTGAATAATACTGAATAGAGCTTATATAGGAATGCCGCGATAGGTGTCGTATTCCTATAGGTAGATGTGATCAGCTGAGAATCAGCTGATGCAAGCTTGACTCACGTGACCTGCCAGAACTAACGCTAACACTTAATTTATATGGTGTATGCTGCCTATAAATTATATAAAAATTAATTATTTCACTGTTTGCAGTAGTTTACTTTAAATTGGTAATCATTATCTCTGAATTACCAAGTTTATTCACGTCCAAAACTTACCAGAGTATATACAAAAATTTTAAATAGCTCTTTGAGCCACAACTGCAAATGAATATACTTTAAATCTGGGAATAGTATGTTCATTTAGAATGGAGAAATGTATTTTAAAAGTTAAAAAAAAGAAAGAAAAAAAGCTTTTCTCATCTGTTCTCACTGCCTTTAATATACATGTAGACCTGATTGTACTGCTGTACTCAATAGCTTACATTGTTTTCATGACATACATTATAGCTGGCAGTAATTTGTAGTATCACACGCACAAACACACATTTATTATAGAAACGACTAGAACTCATGTAGAGGTTAAAGCATTCCTCTGTCATCACATAAAGCAAGTCATGGATTAATGTTTTCTTGCTGTGTAGCTGTGGGAACATTTGTAATGCGCACATTTATCAAAATTACGGAGACCAGCGGAACCACATGTTTGCACCTGCCTGAGCAGTGAAGGTCAACAACACTCTCATGTTTAACTCATGGACTTTGTGTGCGTTTACAGGTTCTTTGCGACTGCAGGGAGGCAGATCCAAGTTGGAAGGTACAGTAGAAGTGTATCTGAATGGTGTGTGGGGAACCATCTGCAGTAACGGCTGGGATGACCGAGATGCCACTGTGGTGTGTCGACAGCTGGGACAGGGGTAATACACATACACACCCATACATACAGTATGGATAACATACTGTCATATCACTTGTACTATATTTGCAGTATGTATACTATGTGCAGTATCTGGATGACTTGCCAATATGCAGTATACCACAGAGCACGGTGCACAGAATGCTATATCCCATGCAATGCATTGGACTTGACCTTCCAATTCTAGTGTGATGAATGGCTTAAAGATTTATCACCTGCAATGCAGGGCTTGATGCTTAGTCTTTCCCACGTTGAAAAATGTGGCAGAACACTGAAAAACTTTACGGGTGCAATGAAAATGGATCAAATGTGTTTTTCCTTAACAAATGGGATACAATGATTTCATTTATTAGAATGCAAAAAGTACCCAAGGATTTTAAACATTTATGCTCCAAACTGTATTTAATAATTTAGCAATGCAGGTCTTTTCATTTTAAACAAGACAGAAAAATGCTGTGACTCTTATTTTGAAATGTCTATGCTTTGCTATTTCAGCTGCTCATTCAAAAAGATGAGGGAGATAAAATATGCACTTAAAACCTGAAACTTCCTACAACATATTGCAATATAAACACCATAAAGTAAACATTGTCATAATACATCAACAGTAGATCATAAGCAATCTATTAGCATAAATACACAATATTCATTGATTGATTGATCTCTGAAACCGAGAGCCTGTAAAACGTGCAACAGCAGTTCATTGCTACTTGAAACATGCAGCGCTCATATTTAATTAAATCATAGGCTTTTGAAGTTTAATATTCACATTAGGTTGTATCGTGATTGCTTTTTTCCATCAGCAAAAATTTAAGTCTTAAAATAATCTTAAAATAATAATTAATATGTTTGTTATACCATTTAATATATTTAAGAATTTTTATGACCTTAAATTTGATAAAACTTTCTAAAATTGATAAAACAATTTTTTATACAATTTTTAATACATTTTATAAAACCTTTTTTGTTCGCACACATTTTTTTTAGGCGCAAATGTAACTAAAAGTTCAACTAAAAATTTAAATTCCATCATCATTTACTCATCCCTAATTGTGTTAAAAGAAAAAAAAAAAAATATATATATATATGTATATATAATATCTATAATACATCTATATTAAGATTAAAAATTCTAAATAATCATCCCTGAGACACTAACTGGATGCCAGTTTCCGAATTTCCGACTGCAATGTGGTTAGGTCATGTGACAACAATATTTCATACTACTAGTGTTACTTGTGTAATGCATACAGTTTCACACTAAAAACAGTAGGCAGTATACAGAGTAGGAAGAGAGTCAGAGTGTTAGTTTATTTTTTCCCAACACCTAAATGCAATTTAGACAGTCCATGCACTGCTGAAACATTCAGCATACATTATGTCTGTCTTCACTGAACTGTACAATGGTAATGGATGTGCCATGAGACATATTTATAATACATTACTAGTGTAGCCACATTGTCATTGCTGCCACAATTGGGATAGTTACTGTGGTCTGATGACCATATGCTGCCCGTTTGTTTATTACCTAACCACAAAACAACCTTTGTAAGGTTGTGCATGGAATCCTTTGGTATTTGACCCCAGTGGGCCAAAGGTCAAAGGTCAATCTTTCACCTTCAAAACACGGCATATGCTTAGTGAGTGGTCCAGCAGTGATTGTGCGTGCGCGGGTGTTTTAAAAGATTGCGGATTTCTCCAGAGAGTTCTAATCTTTGTCATAAACACAACCATGTGGTTTGTGTCTATCACACTCACACACATGCCAATCTGAGAGCGTTTTAAGTCTGACAAAAAGTATTATTTTACCATTCAAACAAAACGGACGCATACACATGTGTGGACCTGTCATCATTTGACCTCAGGAGCTTAGAACCCATTTGTCATTTGTGAATAATTCATCGGGTGTCTCAACTTTGATAGATGAATAGACATGAATTATTTAAAAGCGAGAGAGACAGATGGACTTCACAGACTTCGATTTATGTGTTCTACCTGTCTGTCTACCACAGCAGTTCTCAAGCTTCAACACTACAGTTGTAAGACATATCAGTGTAGTTCAGCTTTGAAAAATTAGCCTCGAGACCTCTGTGCTTGAACTCTTGATTGTATACTAGCAATGTATATTTGCATACTATTCAATAGTATATAAATAGCATTAAACCTACTAAGATTCTAATGTTGTACATTATTGTTCAAAAGTTTGCAGTTCTTTTAAAAAAAAAAAGTTTGGATTTTTTTTTTTAAAGAACGACTTTCATAATGTTACAAAAGATTTCTATGTCAAATAAATGCTGTTCGTTTGAACTTTCTATTCATCAGAAAATCCTGAAAAAATTTATCATATTTTCCCACAAAAATATTAAATAAAACAAATATATTTAAATAAACTGCTTTCAACACTGATAATAATCAGAAATGTTTCTTGAGCAGCATATCGTCGTATTAGAATGATTTCTGAAGCATCATGTGGCACTGAAGGATCACAGGAATAAATTACATTAAAAATATTAATATTATTAAAATAGAAATCAGTTATTTTAAATTGTATTAATATTTCACAATTCATTCAAAAATCTTCCTGACCCCAGATTTTTTAATGGTAGTGTATATTTCATTAATAAAGTTGGATGGTATACAGTAGAAGTGTATAATGCATTATTGAATAAATTATTCAGTATAAACCAGCTGATGGTTAATATATGACGGTTGTTATGAATTAAAATAGCTTATTATTAAGAATGAGTCACAGGTTACGAGATTCTTAGGATTGAATCTAAAGTTTATTTTGACGCATTTATAAATAAACACAATATTGTTTCTATAAGTGGCATAATCTTTTCCACTGTAACGAATCAGCTCATGGGAAATATGAATAATTAACCATAACTAGTTATAATTAATTATGAATATTTTGGATCCGCTGTAGATATTTAGCTGACCTCTCAGGGTCAACTGTCTTGTCAATTCTAAGAACGTTAATTTCCTGGTTAAGGGACATAACTTTCTTACTGTACAATTCTACAAAAGCTTGTAGCATAAATCTGCATGATTAAGTGACTCCAGTTATAAGCAAACAATGAACCACGTCAAGTGTGATACAAGTAAGGTTTTATTAACTACATAAACAATTTAAAGATCTTAAAGAAAAACAAGTAAAACTTTGATTGATCATTTTAGATTTTAGTCAGACATCTCCTCCTCATTGATATCCCGACCAGATCTTAGCAAGAAGAGAGCTCTGGCAAATACACAGGAATAATTTCCGATACTGCAAATACAGAATTACCTGTGGCTATAAAAATGATAAATGTCTCAAAAATGTCTTGTGACTCCATGCATCTCTTTCAACCCATGTTAGCTACCATTTACAGAACAGCTGAAACACTGTAAAAAAAATGCAAATATGGATAGCTGGGAAAAGACTCAAGTAAAGAAATCAAATGAAACAAAAACCACCCTATTGTCTCTTTCTGTCTCAGCTCTAGAGCGCATGCACGTGTGAGTCCTCTGTCACGTCTGCTGGTGTCTGTAGTTCACTGGCAGTCCATGGGCTGTGAGGGACAGGAAGAGGACTTACTGCAGTGCAATCGCACCGTCTGGAACGGGGGAGAGTGTGTTAACCGTCAGGCGGCTGCTGTCTCTTGCACGCCAGTGGAGGGTATGTACACGCTCACACAATCTGGATGTAAACACAGATTTAATCACAAATAAATACTCTCAAGAAAATAACTTGAAGTCTGTGTGTGTGTGTTTAGCTTCTGTGTTTGTCCCGGTACGTCTGTCTGGTGGGTGGTCAGCGTATGAGGGCAGAGTAGAGGTGTATCATGCAGGACAGTGGGGCACAGTGTGTGATGACCAATGGGACGATAATGACGCTGAGGTGGTCTGCAGGCAGCTGGGGTTAGGGTAAGACACGCGCACACACACACACACACACACACACACACACATTTTTCCAAGTTTTATGGGGACATTCCCATAGGTGTAATGGTTTTTATACTGTACAAACTGTATTTTCTATCCTCTTACCCTAACCCTAGCCCTAAACCTACCCCTCACACAAAACTTCAGGCATTTTTAGATTTTCAAAAAACTTCATTCTGTATGATTTATGAGCTTGTTTCCTCATGGGGAATGTCAAAATGTCCCCACAAGGTCAAAAATTACTGGTATTACCAGTACACACACACACACACACACACACACACACACACACACACACACACACACACACACACACACACACACAATGAGCTGAATGTTACAGGAATCGTTCATACTTGTCATATATCCATTTTGGTTTTCAGATCCTATTCAGTTGTTTTGCAGGTAATGAAATCAGATCCATTCAGATGAAATCTATATGAATATATATGAAAAAAATTATCTCATCTTATCATGGTACTGGAATCCTTTTTTATTATTTATAAAAATTTTTTTTATAGTTAATCATTCTGAATTAATTCATTATTATTCATTAATTAACAGCCCTAAAAACAGATTTGAGTCAAAATATATCCATTTTGGTTTTCAAATTCAATTCAGTTGAATTGCAAGTAATGAAATCAGATCCATTCAGATAGTAAATATCATAGTAAATAATTTAGTGTAGTAAATAGGGCTGTCAAATCGATTAATCGCAATTAATCACATCCAAAATAAAAGTATATTCATATTTATATATTATTTATATTATATAAATATATTACATATATTTCTTAAGTACATGCATGTGTGTGTATTTATATATAGATAAATATACACAGTACTCACACACACATATATTATGTAAACTATTATTTTGGATGCGATTGCCCTAGTAGTAAATATCTGCTAAATCTACATTGGTTGCCATAGTAATGATAGAAAGATATAAAAATAAATAAAATAAAATTTGTATTTAAAAATGTATGCATTATTATTAATTTTATTTTTTATATTTAACTATTTGTAATTAATTAATTATTACTAATTAATTATTAATTAATTCATTAATTGACAGCTCTACAAAAAAAATAACTAAACAAATTTGATGTATATACAGTGGGTACGGAAAGTATTCAGACCCCCTTAAAATTTTCACTCTTTGTTATATTGCAGCCATTTGCTAAAATCATTTAAAGCCATGGAGGCTTCACCTGGTTTTTTGGGAACAAACTGTCTATTTAGAGGAACACCAGGGTGTTCTTTACAACTGAGATGTGTGAAAATAGAAGGAAGATAGAGAGGAGGTAGGAGTGTTAGCCGGAGAGAGGGAAAGAGGGGAGTAAAGTGTCTTCTCTGCATAAAAATGTGAAATATTTTCTTGGGAGTTTTCTGACACACAAAGCTTAAGTGTTCTCAGTAAGAAAGTGAGAGTGTGAGAGAAAGACAGAAAATGAAGATAATGAGAGGATGAGAGCCAGAGGAACACAGAACGAGAGGGCAAAGAGGCGTGAAGTGTGATTTAGAGGGAGGAAAGGAATTACAGAAGAACGGAAAGACCAAGATGTGAATCAGGTTGATTGTTTCAAGCTTCTCAACTCTATTATACCGGCGGTGATGGGCATAACAAATGGTGCCCAAAAGTGAGCTCTGCAGGTGTGTATCTCTTCCGTGAGTTTGGATAATAATCACTCATGTGAAGGGCTTTCTATTGAGCGGAAAAACTCCAGTAGAATAAAACGCGTGGGTTCGAGAGACTGCAGTTCCACTTCACTTGCCTCTCAACTTTCACTGATTATTGAGTGCAGAACTTTGTGCTTGATTGACTATTAATCACAGAAAGAATAAAAAAATATATAATCTCATAGCACACTCTTAATGCAGCCCACTAGCATACTTGAAACAGTTCGATTTTGGAGTGTTGCACCTACAGTCTGTTTTTACTTTTCTTTTTCATTTCCTGCTATGTATTGCAGTGACCCATTTTGCCTGCAAATCAATGTGAATGCCGTCAAAATAAAAAAGAGGTATATACTAACATAAACAATTGTAATAGACTGAATCAAGGCGTAATCATATCCTTCAGGGCTTAAATGTATATTAATGCACAATTTCAGTAAGAAAAAAAATCACATACATTAAACAATACTGTTCTGCTCTCACTGTCCTAAATTATTAGCCATTTACTGCAAGTGTAAGAGAACCCCTCCAGAAACACCCAATTACACAATCACCATGTTTTGTGACATGGACTGTAACTTTGTGTTTGCTTAGTAAAAATTGGGATTATATTATATGAGCAGGCTCTTTTTTAAAAAGAGTATTTTTTATGGAAATAATATGCTTTAAAACAATATACTTAAGAGCAAACTGAATGCATTGTTTCCGGGCAATTAACTGCATGTTAATTGCAATTAAATGAAAATGCATTATGGTATAAATTTATAATAAATGCAATTAGCTGAACTTTAGAGTCCTTTTTTGACCCAATTATGTAGGACTTAAGCACATCTTTAGATCATTTTCTACTTCAGTATCTATAAGTGTAATAAAAAAATATTTTAAATGTACACTACAGTTACTTTACATGTGCTTTGATATGTTTTGAGTTCACATCAAAATAAATCTACTTCTTTAAAGCATGACAAAAGCGTATTATAACATAATTTGACATTATATAAGTGCACTTTTAAAGAGCCACTGAAGTGCTTTGAAACACGCAGCATTATTCTATGTGTTGACATAATTTCAACTGAAACAGGAAGACAGGGTGGGACATATCGAGCAGCCCCGCCTCCTTTTTTAAACAGCCAATAGCGTTTTGTTTATATCACAGCTTGGGCCAGAGCCACTGAGCTCGGTAAAGCTGCATTTGACAGTTTATGACAGCCACGGTCTAACAGATTACCCCTTTAGATTTGATATTAAGTTGTTACTAAAGCAAAACAGTGATTAAAATGAATGCTGAGGATGTGTAGTTTGAAAAGTGTGTCATTTATGATGGTGCATGGCACCGGTGTTATCTCTTCTGCTCGTTAGTGCCATTTGCCGCAGTTTCAGCATCTATTTATAGTGGAGGGGGCGGGACACTTTGGATTCTAGAGAGCATTTGATTGGACAGAAAATCTGATGAGAAGCTGAAGTGCAGGGTGATGTCATCAAAATCTTTGATCCATATTGGCGGAAGTGAGAGACTGTAAGTTTTGAATGTTTATATCTTCTAAATGCAAATTTTGTCATTGTTTTGGATCACACTAGCTTATAGATAACCTTACGGCTAATGTATTCATACTAAAAAACAAAAACTTAAATTTTGATTTCATGGGGACTTTAAAAGAGTACTTACTGTAAGTGTGTTAAGAGTAAGTGTGTTTATTTCATTAATATTATTTTATCTGCAAGTAGTTTTTTTTTAAAGATACTACAAGTGTATATTCAATATTCCTGATTGCACTTTTTCACAAAGGAAGTTCTTCAGTATGAGAAGAAGCTCATCTGAATCATAATATCAAACATACTGGATATTGTCAGAGTCTTCAGGAGGAACTTGATTCAACAGGAAGTTGAATCGTTAACAGCCACCTGCTGCGAGATGCACCCGCACACACACAAACAGCTCCCTCTGATTTCTGAATGACTATGTAAATGAATGACTGCAGATCAGCTGGGCTGATTGGCATGTGGGATGCCAGCAATAATTTTTATCAACACAGCAGTTGTTTCACTTTCTTTGAGTTGTATGGAATTTCAGTGATTTGAATTTTCCATTAAAGTGTTGTTTTTTTTGTATTATTTTGTGTTCAGGGGCATTGCTAAGGCTTGGGTGGGAGCATATTACGGTGCAGGCTCAGGGCGAGTATTGTTGGATGAAGTGAGCTGCACAGGAAATGAGCTTTCCATAGAGCAGTGTCCAAAAACCGCCTGGGGGGAGCACAACTGTGACCACACAGAGGATGCTGGAGTGTCCTGCATCCCACTTACAGGTATACACATACACGTGCACAAGTATGGACAACACTTGTGTGAGATGACAGTTCTATTACATTATGTGATGCATGTGTAGGGCCATTTGTTTAAAGGGGTCATATGATGCTTTTTTAAAGATCATTATTTTGTGTATTTGGTGTAACACACAATCAAAAGCGATTCAGTTCCCTCAAGGAAAACCATACAGAATACAGAATAGTATATTAAACTAGAAGTTTTTTTTGATGCACCCAAGTAGGACTTTTAAGTACATCATTTCACAGTTGTCTTTGAAATACCAAATGTTCTGATAAGCATTTATGGTAAACTAAAATATACTTTGCCATGTATATGCCATGTATTTAAATAAATTAGGAAAACCTTTAATTTAACATTATTACATAGTACACTTTATAAGAGTGTACTTAAGAGTGTTCAAAAACATAGTCATGAAAACATACTCATTTAAGTACACTTAAGTGGCCTTATATTTCATTAATATTATATCTGCAAGTAGTTTTAAAAAATATACGTTTATGATTTCAAGTACACTCCAAGTGGACTTCTTTTTCACAAGAGCAACAAAGTAGTCTGATTCTCGAGCGAGTGACTTATGAGTTGATTCTTTTCAGTTTATTAAACCATACAGTACTACCTGTACTGCTGATTCCCGAATGAATGACTCTTGTGAGCCAGTTCTATTTAGTTAAAGGGGTCATGATATGGATTATTTTAAATGTTCCTTGAGGAAAAAATGAGATTTCTCATGTCATGACCTTTTTAATCAAACACATATACTAAATGTTGAACTGAAGGCTTATGAGACATTTTTAAAACACGTTTTGCAGGAATTGTTGATGTTAATACTCTCTCTCAGATGGTGCAGTGCGTCTGGTTGGGGGTGTGAAGGGTTATGAGGGGAGACTGGAGGCTCATTACAGAGGTCAGTGGGGGACCGTGTGTGACACAGGCTGGACACAGACCAACACGCAGGTCGTCTGCAGGCAGCTGGGCTTCAGGTAGCACACAGACACATGCATAATAAGGTCTTCTGATTGATTATTGACTAATTTGCTAATTGTGTTGTGTCGATGCAGGTCAGGGGAGAGTGTGTCGGCAGGGCGGTTCGGGGTGGCGGCTGGTCCCATTCTCCTGGATGATGTCAGGTGTATAGGAAAAGAGCCCACAGTCACACAGTGCAGCCGGAGGGGCTGGTTCAAACACGACTGCGCTCACAACCAAGAAGTAGCCATTGTCTGCAACTCCCAACGCTCCAGGCACGGAGTGCCCACCAGTAAGAGCTCTGACACACACACATATACACACACACACTTTAACACTGCCTCGTACCAAAGTCCCCTTTAAGGCAAGTCATTTCACTCTGTGGCCATCTTTGAAAAGCCTCTCGGGGATGCAAGTGCAGCTCCTATCTCTTTGAATGTGGAAACATCAAATTCTCCAAAACTGTTCCAAGCTTACAATTAAATTTCATATTTAAAATCACCAATGAAATCTGAAAACAACTGCCTCATAAAGGTTGTTTCTTATGCTCCAATAGCATTAAAAAAAGCGTATTATTCAGGCTTGATCAGCCGGTGCACATGCACAGTCCTAGCGTGCATCTCAGAACGCTGAGTGTTTCTATAGCAACTTCTATATAGACTTCTAACGGAAGCTGCAGTGACTCGATGAATTTATGGTGATTGGCTCTTTTATTGAGAAGATGGGACTATTCCGCCATATTGCGCGTTACACTTTCTCCCATTCATAAGTAATAGGAGTGCACCGTCTTTGGTATATCTAAAGTCTTTGTTCATACATTCTAATTTCTTAGAGACGTGGGAACAGTTCAAACACAGAGGGAGAAACATTATAAAGTTCATCAGCCATAAATCTAATATGACCTATGAAATCTAGATACCATTCCAAAGTTTGAAACTTAAACTTGCAGAAATATCAGTCATTGTAGTATTTTTCTCTGCAAACTTTGTTGCAGCAACTGTTTCTTCTCTTCCGTTGCTCACACACATTCTCTGACAGAAGATTCTTTCTTTTAGTGTGCTTAAACTGTGTATGAAGATGGATGGTAGGATGGATAGATACATAGATAGGTTGATCGATCTTACACTGAAAAAAGGTAACATAAAATGGTAACAGTGTAGCTGGTTTTAACCATGTAGTTCTTGTGAGCATTAATGTAATAATAATTTAATGCTATTAAAATCAAACTTCAATGCATATCAGTCATTTTAAATTATGTTTAACAATATAATGACTATTTATTAGGACTGTCAGTCAATGCAAAAAATAAATTACTATTAATATTAATTAAAAAATACACTTTAAATATTCAGTGACTAACTGTGTCAAGATATTAGCATAATAATAATAATAATAAAAAAATATATATATACTGTATATATATATATAAATTAGGCACAAAAGGACATGTGCACTCCATAGGGTTCTGATATGTGAGGTAATATACTTTTGTATGGGCTCTTCAGTGCTATGATGACTATTATGGGGTTGATGTGGTAATGCCTTTACACCTGTAGCCCATGTGGCACAAAGGATGGTGTATGTACACCCATTTACACACACGTAAAACCTGAATTCCCCCGTGAAGAAGTCGATCTGTCCATCAGCTGAATGTTATATTACATGTACAACTAAATGTTTATGCAAAAAACTAAATGTTATGCAAAATCCATAAAGAGAGTTATGATCAGACAGATCTTTAGTATAAAGATATCTCTCTGATATCTTATCAGGACTCAGCTTTGATTCAGCATTGTGTGCCTCAAGACAGACCGAGTGAGTTCTGCTAATGGTCAGAGGGCATGAAGTCAGACGTTTAACAAGTACAGCTGCCACTAGACTTACCATGCCTGACTCCTGCTGAGCTGGGCATGTCTGATCCAGACAGACATACAGTTACACATACATATGGAAAACACTCCTACACATCCAGATGACAAAATTCACTTAATTTGCATGATTATAGCTCTATCTCAGACTATAGGTTGAACAATTAACTTAACTGAATATAAATATTAACGGATTAAATTAAAATAGTGGTGTTTAGTCAAATAAAACAATGGTGTTAAATATTTGTATTACTTGATATTTATTTAATATGTACTGTAATTTATATTTCATATTTAATTAAGAAAAAAATCCTTTAAATTTGAATTTACAAGAACATAAATTTGAATATAGCAGAACAAAAATATTTAAAAAAAAAGCATCTCTTTGTCTTGTCAGTATATTGAATGATTGATATTTACAAAAGAATAGCCTGTGACAGATCTATATGGATGCATTTACACTGCAAGATCACATTTGTCCTGCCTTTATCTACATTAAAGACACAGATTCTTATTTTGCAGAGTTAACCATTCATGTGCATCACTGCAAATTAAATATCCTAAGTGTGACTTGTTACCAAAAAAGTACTTTTCACATTATTTTGCTGCTTTTCTCTTTGAGTTGTTTTCTCCTCTATCCCAGAACCTTTTTGTAAAATGCAGCAGATAGAGAAAGAGAATGAGTGTGTGTGTGTGTAATAGATCTTTATGAGCAGCAGGCCAGACAGAGTGTGAGTAAGAGATTGAGTGACAGCACTGGAACTGGGAACCGGTGAGGAGTGTGTCAGTTACACACACACATACACACACTAGATGCTATTGTTCATGTGTAAATGCCTTGCTGCGGTCCTTTTTCCTGCACTCTCTGGCTGATTTAACTTTATTGACTTTGGACAGAGCAGCCAATGTGTTCAAGAGACTCACTTATAGAGCAGATCTCCCTGTTTAATTCGTCTTACTCACAGGGATTCAGATGAGAGTGTTTTTGTGTGTGTATAAACTAAAGAAGACTGGTTTTTAGTATTCTCATCAAACACATTTCAGTATTCTTTTATATGGACACACTCACACACACACACACACACACACACACACACACACACACACACACACACACACACACACACAAATCTAAAGTGAATAAATCTTAATTTATAAATCCTACACCTTAATTTGTTTTTGTTTTTTTGCATTTTTGTTTAGAATGAAATAAAACTATTTTATGAATCGTTTTTCCTATTGAGGACGTACCCAGATGTCTCCAAATGGAGTTTTTCTTCAGATACCTTCTGGGGACAATTTGTTTTGTATTACTGTTTTTATTACTAAGTGTTTCCTCCTGATTTGCGTCTTGAATTCATCTTACATACACACGCACAACACATACTGTGGCTTCCTCTTGTCAAGTTGATGGCTTTATGAAAATGTGGTGAGTGTGGCTCTATGGGAAACTCTCAGAGCTTAAATAATGTTTCCTTTTCACTGAATGAGCTAAAAATGCAGTTCCTATTTGCCTGTGAGCCACATGGAATCCATAAAGGTCTGTGCCCACAAAACTCAGATTTCCACACGACCGGAAAACACCCGTCCTTCACAAAATCATCTCAGTTAGCAATACTCTCAGCTCCGTTTAACATTTAACACTCTGTTTAATTTATAATAGAACTTTTTACTGTATTTTGATCCAATTAATGCAGCCTTGGTTAGCAAAAGAGACTTTCTTTCAGAAGCATTCAAAAATCTTACCGACTCCATACCATTGAATGGTAGTAGTGTGTAAGAATGAAAGATGGATGGCCAGTGTATATATACAAACACTCAAGTTCTCACTCTCGACATGCATTCAGTAGAAACATGTCCAAATAAATAAAATCTGTCTGAGTGTGATTTTTAGAGTGTTTTTCATGCCGTCTCATACAGAGCTGATGAAAAGTAGAGACCATCTGAAAAAAACATTTCAGCATGTATGGTTATCATATGTGAGTGCATGTGTGTGCCGCTGGTGCTAAAGGCTTTATGAAGTAAATTTTATTTAATAAAAAAGTTCTTGAATAACTGCTGACAAGTGAGAAATGAAATTTAAGCTTTAGGAATGATTAGTATTGCAGATGTTCATAAAGCTGCATGTTTTGTTAACACAGAATATGTAGCAGAGCGATAAGCCATGAGAAGCTGTGCACTAAAGTTACTGTAAACTGACTCAGGTGGTAAATGTAAATGGAAAATAATACAAGCCTGTAGGCTGTGCATGCTAGTCACAGAACAAAGCAACTTGGCACATTCATGTAAGATTCAATTATTTTGCAGTCATGAGTATGCATAAATTACTTGTCCAATCAGAATTTAGAATCAGTTTTATAAACAAATGTTGCTGTTAAATTCATATTAATTTTGGCTGCAAATGTGTATGAATGTATGGTTAGTAAGTCATGTTTTCTTTTATTTTGCACAGAGGGTGTTTTGTGGATCAGCAATTCTTGGGTTTGAACTAGAGATATTTGGCCACTGTTCATCAGTTTTGGATGATTGGCACCCGTTTCAAAATCTAAAGGATAATGCACATTTTTAAGTTTCAAATAATTTGTGAATTTTCTCTAAATATTGTCTAAAATGGGTGCTAATTCAATTTTTGGCAATTTTATGTGAGTCTCATTTGCATTCCTTAAAGGGATAGTTCACCCAAAAATGAAAGTTCTGCCATCATTTACTCATCCTCAAGCTGTTCCAAACCTGTATGAGGTTCTTTCATCTCTTGAACACAAAAGAAGATATTTTGAAGAATGTTGGTGACCAAACAGTTGGTGGTAGCCATTGACTTCCATGGTATGGAAAAAATACTATGGAAGTCAATGGTAACCGTCAGCTGTATGGTTACCAACATTCTTCAAAATATCTTCCTTTCTGAATGCATTCAGATTTGAATTGATGTGAGGGTGAGTAAATGACAGAAGTTTAATATTTGGGTGAACTATCCCTTTTAAATACATTATACATAACGTATATCATGCATATATCTATTTATTATACTATACTATATTATATTAGCAGTCAGCTGCTATTTTAAACCTACAGCTAATCACATCCATCCAGAACTTTAACCACTGCACAGCCACCTGCTAATCAAAGTGAAATGCAGCATGTGTGCATTCATATATTTTGTTTTACCTGTCTGTCAGGCGTACCTGTGAGACTGGTGGGCGGAGAGAATGAGAGAGAGGGGCGTGTCGAGATCCTGGTGGGTGGCCAGTGGGGGACGGTTTGTGATGACGGATGGACGGATCGGGATGCAGAGGTGGTGTGCAGACAGCTGGGCTACAGGTGACTTCAACAGGGTCATCTGAGCAGTCTTCTAATGTTGAGTCATGTCGTGCCATTCAGAAATCTTAATCAGATTACCTGATAAAATAAAGGTAGAATAATTAAATGTTGACAATGTCATGAATGTGAAATTTCACATACCCACACTTAAACACACACACTAAAGCAGTAAACAAACTAAATGAGTAAGGTTTGATGACAAACTTTGATATTGGCCTGAAAGTATGAATTAGTTTTAAAAGTTCAGGTTTGTAGATTTTATTTTCAGAAAGAAATTCGGATTAAATCTCACAAAGACCATATTTCAGAGCCCATTTAACCTCATTAAATCATATTAAATCAGCTCAGTCCCCAGTAAACCTTTCCAGGCCAATTAGACCTCATAAGATTACTAAAAACCACATCAAACCACGTTTCTAGTACTGTAGTACTTCTTAACAAGTGTTTTTAGACATTGTTAGCATGTTGCTAGCATGATGTACCATGTATGTTAGATGAAGCTAACATGTTGTAGTAATGTGCTAAAACATGACTATTCTAATAATAATAATTTTTCATGAAATATTACTAAAGCATTTTGATAAAGAATGTCAAAACTTGTGTTGTTTTGCTGTATTTGAGGAGAATATGCCGAGGAGAGAGAGAGAAAGAATTCACCTCCTTCACAATAGACAATTCATTTCACAATAGATTTATTTAGCAATAGGTTCTGGTCTGTTTCTTTTTCTTGTTTGGAAGTGATTTAAGATCTTATAAGTTCAGTTATAAATCATGCCTATACAGTGGGGCAAAAAAGTATTTAGTCAGCCACCAATTGTGCAAGTTCTCCCACTTAAAAAGATGAGAGAGGCCTGTAATTTTCATCATAGGTATACCTCAACTATGAAAAACAAAATGAGAAAAAAAAATCCAGAAAATCACATTGTAGGATTTTTAAAGAATTTATTTGCAAATTATGGTGGAAAACAAGTATTTGGTCAATAACAAAATTTCATCTCAATACTTTGTTATATACACTTTGTTGGGAGAGGGGCGTGTCGAGATCCTGGTGGGTGGCCAGTGGGGGACGGTTTGTGATGACGGATGGACGGATCGGGATGCAGAGGTGGTGTGCAGACAGCTGGGCTACAGGTGACTTCAACAGGGTCATCTGAGCAGTCTTCTAATGTTGAGTCATGTCGTGCCATTCAGAAATCTTAATCAGATACCTGATAAAATAAAGGTAGAATAATTAAATGTTGACAATGTCATGAACGTGAAATTTCACATACCCACACTTAAACACACACACTAAAGCAGTAAACAAACTAAATGAGTAAGGTTTGATGACAAACTTTGATATTGGCCTGAAAGTATGAATTAGTTTTAAAAGTTCAGGTTTGTAGATTTTATTTTCAGAAAGAAATTCGGATTAAATCTCACAAAGACCATATTTCAGAGCCCATTTAACCTCATTAAATCATATTAAATCAGCTCAGTCCCCAGTAAACCTTTCCAGGCCAATTAGACCTCATAAGATTACTAAAAACCACATCAAACCACGTTTCTAGTACTGTAGTACTTCTTAACAAGTGTTTTTAGACATTGTTAGCATGTTGCTAGCATGATGTACCATGTATGTTAGATGAAGCTAACATGTTGTAGTAATGTGCTAAAACATGACTATTCTAATAATAATAATTTTTCATGAAATATTACTAAAGCATTTTGATAAAGAATGTCAAAACTTGTGTTGTTTTGCTGTATTTGAGGAGAATATGCCGAGGAGAGAGAGAGAAAGAATTCACCTCCTTCACAATAGACAATTCATTTCACAATAGATTTATTTAGCAATAGGTTCTGGTCTGTTTCTTTTTCTTGTTTGGAAGTGATTTAAGATCTTATAAGTTCAGTTATAAATCATGCCTATACAGTGGGGCAAAAAAGTATTTAGTCAGCCACCAATTGTGCAAGTTCTCCCACTTAAAAAGATGAGAGAGGCCTGTAATTTTCATCATAGGTATACCTCAACTATGAGAGACAAAATGAGAAAAAAAATCCAGAAAATCACATTGTAGGATTTTTAAAGAATTAATTGGTAAATTCCTCTGTAAAATAAGTATTTGGTCACCTACAAACAAGCAAGATTTCTGGCTCTCACAGACCTGTAACTTCTTCTTTAAGAGGCTCCTCTGTCCTCCACTCGTTACCTGTATTAATGGCATCTGTTTGAACTTTTTATCAGTATAAAAGACACCTGTCCACAACCTCAAACAGTCACACTCCAAACTCCACCATGGCCAAGACTAAAGAGCTGTCAAAGGACACCAGAAACAAAATTGTAGACCTGCACTAGGCTGGGAAGACTGAATCTGCAATAGTTAAGCAGCTTGGTGTGAAGAAATCAACTGTGGGAGCAATTATTAGAAAATGGAAGACATACAAGACCACTGATAATCTCCCTCGATCTGGGGCTCCACGCAAGATCTCACCCCGTGGGGTCAAAATGATCCCAGAACCATACGGGGGGACCTAGTGAATGACCTGCAGAGAGCTGGGACCAAAGTAACAAAGGCTACCCTAGTAACACACTGCGCCTCCAGGGACCCAAATCCTGCAGTGCCAGACTTGTCCCCCTGCTTAAGCCAGTACATGTCCAGGCCCGTCTGAAGTTTGCTAGAGAGCATTTGGATGATCCAGAAGAGGATTGGGAGAATGTCATATGGTCAGATGAAACCAAAATAGAACTTTTTGGTAAAAACTCAACTTGTCGTGTTTGGAGGAGAAACAATGCTGAGTTGCATCCAAAGAACACCATACCTACTGTGAAGCATGGGGGTGGAAACATCATGCTTTGGGGCTGTTTTTCTGCAAAGGGACCAGGACGACTGATCCGTGTAAACGAAAGAATGAATGGGGCCATGTATCGTGATATTTTGAATGAAAACCTCCTTCCATCAGCAAGGGCATTGAAGATGAAACGTGGCTGGGTCTTTCAGCATGACAATGATCCCAAACACACCGCCCGGGCAACGAAGGAGTGGCCAGAGGTCAGGTTATGACACTGTAACTGATGCTCATATCTGATGAGCTCACTTCTGTGCTTGCCAGTGTATGTGTGTGTGTGTGTTTCGATATACTGTATGTTCCTCTTGAGTGAATACACCCAGAGCCTACACAGATCTCTTATTGTTTAGTTTTTGAATATGTTTGTAGGTACAATATCATTCACATTTAGACTGAGAAAGGGAAATAAACATAGCTTAACAAATGGATTCTGATTGGTGAACCAATTAATAATTAATTGGTGCTGTTATGCGCAACATCACACATCTCAAGCTTTTATACAACAGCAGTGTTATTTTAGCTTCAGTTTTTATTTTCAGTTTTCACTTTCATTTAAGTTTTAGTAATTTTATTATGTGCTTTTGTACATTTTATTAGTTCATTCTATTTAGCTTTAATTTATTTGTTTTCAAAGGTGTACTGTATGTCATTTTTTGACTGTACTAAAGCATAAAATACCATAATATGTTTGCAGATATTTAGGAAACATGATATTTAGAAAGTTCACACTTGTTTCTCCGAAAAACAATGATACAGCCAGTTATTCTACTTTGTGTGTCAGAATGTCTGTTTTTGATTTCTGTTTTTGTTGTGTGGTTCCGCCCACTGTCAGTTTACCCAATTGTATTTCAACACCCCGGGTTGCCAGTTGAGGGAAAACAGTGTACTGCAGCCATCGAAGCCATCAAACAAACTATGTCAGAGATCGTAGATTCTGATAAAAATCAACCCATCAACTTACAGTTTAAGGCAGGGGTCTCCAAACTGGGTCCTGGAGGGCCAGTGTCCTGCAGAGGTTAGTTCCAGCCCTAATCAAACACACCTGAACCAGCTAATTAAGGTCTTACTAGGCATACTAGAAACACACCTGCATGGAAGTTTCTGGTATGCCTAGTAAGACCTTAATTAGCTGGTTTAGGTGTGTTTGATTAGGGCTGGAGCTAAACTCTGCAGGACACTGGCCCTCCAGGACCGAGTTTGGTGACCCCTGGTTTAAGGCTTGTCGCCTTCCGTTGTCAACTGAACTCGTTCCTTTTTCATCTCCTCAATCTGGCAACCCGCGTACAACCTCATAGTTGTTTTATTTTATTTCAGTGTCGAATTTTCATTAAGTTACATTTTTCATCTAATATTTATATTTTATTTTAGCCTTATATCAGTTACTGAAATAATGGAAACATTTTAATAATTGTAGATTTAGTTTTAGTTAACAATTTTGAAAAGTACAAAAATTTAACAAAATGTATCTTTTACTGTCATTCTTGTACAGTGGGCTGGCTAAAGCTCGTGTAATGGCGTATTTTGGAGAAGGTGAGGGGCCTATTCACACTGAAAACGTAAAGTGCACAGGTGGGGAGCTTTCGCTGATTGACTGTATCAAACAACCATTTGGGACACACAACTGTCGCCATAGCGAAGATGCCGGTGTTATTTGTAACTATGGATTACAGAAGGATTCTCCTGAGGTCAAAGGTGGGACATTCTCCTTCATCCTCTCATAGCTACAGCATTCAAATTATGTGAAACTGGCAAGGTTTAAATGGATATTTACCCAAACCTGTATGAATTTCTTTCTTTCACTGAACATAATTAAAACACTGGGGTAGTTAAATAGTATCAGAACAGTAGGATTTGCTCTAATTGTCTGAGTGTAAACACCGTGTCTAACATTTCTTTGTGTGTTCTTACAAGAGAGAAATTCATATGGTTTTGTAAAGACAAAATGACAGAATGACAGAATTTTCATGTTAGGATGATCTGTTTCTTAAAGGAACACTCCACTCTTTTTGAAAATAGGCTCATTTTCCAACTCCCCTAGAGTTAAATAGTTGAGTTTTACCGTTTTTCGAATTCATTCAGCAGATCTCCGGGTTTGGCGGTAGCACTTTTAGCTGTAGCTTAGCACAGATCATTGAATCTGATTAGATCGTTAGCATCTCGCTCGAAAATGACCAAAGAGTATCTCTATTTTTCCTATTTAAAACTTGACTCTTCTGTAGTTACGTTGTGTACTAAAACTGACGGAAAATAAAAAGTAGGCGCTGCGTAATATCATTGCGCCTGCTGCACCCATGGTACGGCAGCAAAGTTCCTTGATTATTACGCCAGAATGAGAGTATAGTTCCTAGTCATATCGGCCTAGAAAATCACAACTTTTAATTTTCCGTCAGTCTTATTACATGATGTAACTACAGAAGAGTCAAGTTTTAAATAGGAAAAATATCGAAACTCTTTGGTCATTTTCGAGCAAGATGCTAACGGTCTAATCAGATTCAATGATCTATGCTAAGCTACAGCTAAAAGTGCTACCGCCAGACCCGGAGATCGGCTGAATGGATTCGAAAACGGTAAAACTCAACTGTTTAACTCTAGGGGAGTTGGAAAATGAGCCTATTTTCAAAAATAGTGGCATGTTCCTTTAAAGGCACATTGAAAGAACTGCAATTAAATGAACATGATCTAATTCACTAACTTAACTGTAATTGATGGTCTGTAAAATAGACATTCTTAGGGCCTCATTTATACAGTGTTGTGTAGAAACCGTCCTACATTTGATCTAAAAGCATCTTTTCTCAAATGTGTGTATGTGTGATTCAGAGAAATGAACATACGCCAAAAAACTTGTACACCTCTCTTCCTCTCTTCCAATCTATAAATCGCGAATGATCTTGAAATTGTTCCCAGATCTCTGCCTTGTAAATGCCTCCTAATTAATGAATTAATGTCATAAAAGTGCACCAGTCAACATCCAAATCCTTTACTTGAGAATGGCTAGTGGCAAGAATTGCTTAGATTTCCAATTAACTGCAGTACTCTGACTCCAAAAAGTGTGTACGCCTGCTTAGAACCTGGAAAAGCACTTTTCCAAGTCAAAGACCGTTTTTATAAATCTGAACGTTGACATGAATTTTAGCTATGGTTTATAGATGAGGCTCTTGGACAGTGGTTTTGAAGGATAGATTTAGGGATCCTCACACCTGTAAAAATACTTGAAACCACCTGAAAGAAGAATGAAAGATGGAAACTATCACCTGAGCAGATCTCTTGTATGTGCTGAAATGGAGTGTGTGTTATGTGTGCTCTAAAGGATGTGGTTTAGCTCTCCATCTCATGATCACTTAGGGTTCACTTATGCTATTCTTATCAATCTAATAACTCTAATGCAAGTTAATCCGGCCTGCTTTCTCCATTAAACTCAAAAGACACATAAGCTACACACACAAACACACAATGTTTTTTGTGTTGTTATATGTAACACTAGACTATATTCTTAGGTCCATCAAGCACATCTGGACACAAACATAGATGAACAGTCTCTGAACTCTCATAGATCCACAGATGAATGTCTCATTTCACCCCAAAATGAAAGAGAAAATAATAAATTATATTGTGCATGCATTTTCATACATAATTAATATCTTGGTATACATATTAATATTATTAATGAATTAATTATGGAAAAAATAACGCCTTAAAATTGTTAACGGAATTAAAGATCCCGCCCCAGACCATAATAACTCATTTCATACATTTGTTTGGTGACGAACATGCAGACAACAACTCACTGTGTGATGTAGCGCATAGAATGCAGTTATATGCCCCTAAAATTCAAGAGATTGGGAGAAAAAATGCTCTTGTATGAGGTTTTGTTTCATATTTATATCATATGAAATAGTTCAGCAATATCACACGAGCAACAAGTGCAATTTCACACGAGTGCTTTTTTGTCCCAAATAGCACGAGTACAAATGTGATAATGAATTTTATACAACAGTTCAATAATTGAGAACTTAATATTGTGTTTTATGCCAACAAAATTATTACACACAGAACCTTTGTGTGTCTCCTAGCAACACAGCGGTGATTCGTTTCTGAATGAATGAGCATTTTGAATGTAATTTGGCAATGAAATTAAATGTTTAGTTTTCACTGTTATTATGCAATTTCAGCAATACAAATGTAAATTTTTCTAAAAAGAAAACAAATTAGTTGTTTATTTTAAGAGATCTATCTTATTATCTCTTGTATATTTAGGATTGCTCTTTAATAAAAAAATTACTTCTTACCCGATTACTCGATTAATCGATAGAATAATCTGTAGAATACTCGATTACTAAAATAACCGTTAGCTACAGCCCTAATTTTTATGAACTTGTTTTGATTTTCTGTGAAATAAGACCAAGGCTGGTGTTCCTAACAGATTTCGTGAGATTCCCTCACGCATGGTTTATAGAAATACGTGTTTGTATTATGTTGCAGAGGCAGTGGGCTCCATGTGTGGTATAAGACCCTCTCATACCCGTCAGAAGAGAATAATAGGCGGGGAGAACTCGCTACGGTAAGCAGAGAGGGTCAAAATGTATACAAACATTTTTGACATAACAAACGACACTTCAGATGAATTGTATATGTGGTTGGAATGAGAAAATGAATGTGCAGAGCAAATTGATTGTGTGTGTGTGTGTGTCTAGTGGGGGCTGGCCGTGGCAGGCAGCTGTGCGCTTGCGAGGGTCTCAGGCAGATGGACGCTTGTTATGTGGAGCCACTTTGATCAGCAGCTGCTGGATCCTGACCTCTGCTCACTGCTTTAAGAGGTACACACAAACATAAATATGGACAGGTACATCTTCATTCTCTATCACATCTGCAAGGCTTAAATAAAGTCCACCCACCTACCCACACACACAAACATATACACACACTTCTTTGTTGTGTTTCCAGTTTTCCACTGTGACTCACAGAGCTAGATAACACAAAATAGCCTGAAATACAAACAAAACATATTTCTAATTGTCCCACACTTCCTCTGTATCCTGTGTCTAGTTATGTAATCATGTGTGACTTGCAAATAAACACTCTTAATCATTCCAGCTGCAAAACAAACATAATTAAATAATAATTCAAATTCAGTAAGAGAGGCAGAGCAAGCAAACCAAAATGTTCTCCATTCAGTAAAGATACTGTATATAAGGAATCACCTTTCTGTTAAAATACAAAAAGATCAGGTTGTAATAAAACATGTTGTCAGCTGTACAGCACTGGTTGTTGCACATTTCCCCTGACATAATCTGTTACATTGCAAAAAAAGAGAAAATTTTTTATGAATTAATTTCTGATCTTACTTTTAATTTTTTTAAATAATTTTTTATAAATACATTAATTTATAATATTATTAATATAATAAAATGAATTAATACAGTTTATGTCTAAGCATCCTTAAAACAATGTTTAAATAAATATACTTGAAGCAAAATTACATAATTATGTAATAAACATAACAAAATATTTGTTTTCTTTCTGAAAACTAATTTCCAACCAGTAATAACCTGTTCCTGTTTCAAATAAAATGTCAAAAGCGATAATACAATAATACAAAATATAAGAGCGAGGAACAATTAACAGAATCCAGATTGTGTAGGAAGCTGTTGCAATGAAGTAGATGTAAAATCACTGTAAAATTTCATGTTTTACTTAGTTTCCTCTGATGACACTCTGTTGAACAATTTATCAGTTAACTCTTTTTAACTCAGTACTGCAGGGGCTCCACCAATTCTACAAGGTACATTTTGTGAGAAGAATAACAATATGCCATATATAATTTATAATATCAAGATAACCTCAAACAGCTCGAGTTACAGTAAAAGCTAAATTTCAGCTAAATGTTTCATTTTGTCTCTCAATATGTTAAAATTTATTACAATTTAGTTACAATTAAAATGTAATGTAAAGCTTAAAGGGAAAGTTTACCCAAACGAAATGAAAATTCTGTCATCATTTACTCACCCTCAAGTTATTCCAAACTTGTTTGAATTTCAAACAGTTTCTGGTCCTCATTGACTTCCACAGTATTTTTTCCCCTACTATGGAAGTCAGTGAGGACCATCAACTGTTTGGCTACCCACCTTCTTCAAAATATCTTCTTTTATGTTCAACATAACTCATACAGGTTTGGAACAAATGGAAGTCAGTTGTGTGGTTGACTTCATCTACATCATTTTTACCACTGCTATGCCAAATATTTGCAAACATCTCTCTTTTCCTAAAAATTACACAAATGTGGATTGCCTTCTTCGGGAGTCTTGTTTTAGATTTTGGAGCACTCTGGGCAAACTAAGTCATTTGCTTAAAGTATTTGTAGAAAAGATAGCCCACATTTAACTGTCTATGGACTTGCATTGAAATCTCACATTTGTAGATCCACGGGAGCTAAATTCCCAAAGTAATAATTTAAAATAAAGAAATAAAGTCAGATATTATGGATAAGGACAAACTCTCAAGAGAAATCTTAAGTCTCAAGCTCAAACAGGGCTGCAGGGCTGATGTTTTGAATATTGTAAACTTGAGCGCCTGTTGCTAGGCAACGGTACATCCCATCCATCCCAAAAGTACACTACATGCAGTTAGCCACAGACCCTTCATGCATCGTTTGATGAGTTTTCACCAGAGGGATAAAATGTTATAGCTGTTCACATTAAGGAAGAATAATAATAGTAGGCCAGAGGAAAAGCAATAAAAACATGTCCACACAAACACTTCCTGCTTCCCATAAGTACCAGTCTGGTAAATGATCTCTCTTCAGTTCAGACCTGTGCTGCACTTCCACATTACTGTGAAAAATGTATGTTAGTGGCAGTTTCCTAAACCATTTAGGGTTTCATTTAAAAAATAGGGTCTTAGTAGAGATTTTGGCAGTGCAAGCGTTTTAAGTAAGATTGAATCTGTTTTTTATCAACCAGTCCAAGCACTGAGCCTTCAAAATATGATCCATGACATCAGACTACTGCTAAAGTTTCCTCTAGTTACATGTTCTCCTTCACATTCACACACACACCACACAGCTATAAATCTAGATAGCTTTGTGGCCCCCTCCCTCTTATTCCTCAGACACATACACTCACTTTTTCAATTTGCAATTAATAGCATGCAGAACAGCATAACAGTTGTTTTAAATCATTTGAGATCATTTAGCTCAAGAGGACTAAAGTTAGTCTCTCACTTCCGAGTTTACGGAGGGTTACATGACATTTGTGCAAAAATAGCATGTACAAACACTCTCACACACACACACACACACACACACACATACACACACACACACACATTAGCGCTAAACTATTTTTATGCTGTGTGCCCAGTTGTTGGCCAACATTAATTCAACTCTGGGGTTACAACCGGCGTGGTATTAAAGGATTTGGAAAGCAATACGCTAAAGTCAGCCCTAATGACGGAACTGC